TTACAACACCCCATCCCCACCCCCGCCTCTCGTCCCCACCTCATCCCAAACAAACAAAACTATCATTAGAGCTCTACGTGCAGGGCTTCTCCACGGGCCTGCCCGAGCGCCTGCAGCTGGCGCTGCTGCGCACCCTGCCCGGTCTGGAGGGCGTGAAGATGCTGCGGCCCGCATACGCGGTCGAGTACGACTACATCCCCGCGCACCAGGTGATCCCCTTATGTTCAAAAAAACACAATTAGGAAGTCACCAATCGATAATTAACGGGAAATATCGGGCCTGAGGATCGAGCGCGTAGTCTGGGCGGGCGCCCAGGTGGCGGCGGCCGTCAACCAGCGTTTCTAGGGCTTGCGGTCGCGGCCATGCGTTAGCGGCGCCGGAGCCGCGCCGAGCGGTGGGCATGTCTGTGATTGTTGGCTGCGCACGGCTCACCTGCCGTCGTGCACGCCTGCTCGCTCCCAGTTCCATCCCGCTGACTGTTGAACTCCTCGATCGTTCCCTGCCTCACCCTCTAAATCAATGGACAATCGACCGCCAGTGCCACGCGACCCTGGAGACCAAGTCGATCCGCGGCCTCTTCCTGGCCGGCCAGCTCAACGGCACCACCGGCTACGAGGAGGCCGCCTCCCAGGGCCTCATCGCCGGCCTCAACGCGGCGCGGCGCGCGGCGGGTGACGCCCCGGTGACGCTGGCGCGGGAGAGCAGTTACATCGGCACGCTGCTGGACGACCTGGTGACTAAGGACCTGCGGGAGCCGTACCGCATGCTCACCAGCCGCAGCGAGTGAGTGGGGCGCAAGCGCACGACGGAATCGTCGCCGCGGCAGCGTGCTCGCGCATGCACGGGGCGGTTCATTCATTCGAGGGATGTTGGCAAGATGGGGGCTGGGACCCTCCGCATCCCGCTCGCCTAAACCTTCTAGCATGAACCCCCCCCCCATCCAGCTGCCACCTGCTTCCTTTGTCAACCCCCTGAAACCTCTCAAAAACCGCCCGCTCGGGGCTTCTCAAAATCCGCCCGCCAGGTACCGTCTGCTGCTGCGCTCCGACAATGCGGACCGCCGCCTGACGCCGCTGGGGCGGGAGCTGGGGCTGGTACCGGATAACAGGTGGCGGCTCTTCTCCGCCAAGCAGGTGGGGATGCTTTTTCTTGCCCTTTGTGCCTTCTCTCCTCCACACTGTCAGCCGGAGGGGGCCTCTGGACACGCCGTGACCAGCGCTGCAGTTGGTGTTGTCGCCGACACCCTGACGTCTGCCGTCCTATGAATCTGCAAAAGCCCGTGATCCCAACGCGCACATGCACACGCCTCGACGGGCCCCCCACGCATCGATCCGAAACCGCAGGCGCGCATCGACGAAGAGAAGGCTCGCCTCGCCACCACCCGGGTGTCCGAGGCGCACCCCGCCGCGCTCGCCGCCGCCGCCGCCAGCGGCCAGGCGGTCGTTCGGGCAGTGACTCTCGAGGAGCTCCTGCGGCGGCCGCACGTTCACTACGCGCTGCTCGCGGCCGGGGAGGCGCAGGCCGCGGCGGCAGCGGCGGCAGCAAAGGCGGAGGCGGAGGCGGGGACAGCCGGTGAGGAGGCGGCCGGCGACGAGCAGTGGCGGCAGGAGCAGGAGCGGCAGCAGGAGGAGCAGCAGCAAGAGCAGCAGCGGCGGCGGCCGCTGACGGCGGCGGAGGCGGAAGCTGTAGAGATTGACATCAAATATGCAGGTAGGAAAGGGAGCTTGCTAGTGGTCCGAATGTGGTTCTGGGCAGGCCAGATCCGATAGGCCGCAACATTGTGTTACTGTCCCGTGTGGGCAGCGCCCTTTGGGATCTCTTGCTCGCTCCCTAATCAGGGCCGCAGCACCCCACATCATTATACCAGCATGCACCAATACACCCTCACTCAAAGCCCAGCACATGCCGCCAACCCCGGGACCTTGGATCTTCATCGGACCATGCGAGGGCGCCATCAACCCATCCATGCCACGTGCTCAGCACCCCTCCCACCCATTTCGCACAAGCTTGCTTTTCAGATAAGCACTTGTCCTGTAGTTCCAATTTTTCCATTCATTGCCGTTCTGACGACAAGTTGCCTCCCCCCAAACTCGCCCCCCCAGGGTTCATCACTCGGCAGGAGAAGCAGCTCGAGTCTGTGGCGTCAAAGGCCGGGAAGGTCCTCCCCGCCGACCTGGATTACTCGTCCATCAAGACGCTCAGCATGGAAGCCAGGGAGAAGCTGGCCAAGATACGGCCGAGGGACATCGGGCAGGCCGGGCGGATCGGGGGCGTCAGCCCCGCTGACGTAACCGCCCTCCTGCTGCACCTCGAGGTGCAGCGGCGGCGCGCGGCCAACGCGGCGGCGGCCGCGGCGGCCGGTGAGAGCGGCGGCGAAGCGGCCGCGGAGGCGCGGCGCCCCGCGGGGGCGGCGGCGAGCCCGCGCGTGGCGGCGGCGCGGCATTGAGCGGGGGGCGTTTAGCAGTTGCCCTTGGTCAACGGCGTCGATGGAAGTTGGCTGGCCTGGCCAGTGCCATGTTGTGCCTTACAGATGCTGTTGTCTCGATTTCCTCGCACCACCCTGCCTTACGTTGACCCATACGTTGACCCATGGGCCCACCTTTGGGCCTGTGCCAGGCCTCTGGGACTCAACAAGTCAACCTCACTGTTTGCAGCGCTTGGCCTTAGAATGGCCGGCCCAGCGTCACTCACGCTCAGATTGGTTTGGTTGCTCTGCAGAATCCTGGCCCTGCAGCGTCTCAAGTCCAAGGCTGCGTCCCTTTCGCTGTAAGGGCATGCAACATTCACATGACAACCAGTGTATGGGGGTGAGGGTGTTGCTTGTGGCGTAAAGTGCGCTGTGCCCGGCCCAGCCTGCCTGTGAGCTGACGCGTCGCTCACTGGTCAGATGGGAGCTGCCTCCCGTGTCAGGAGCGCCTGCCCCGGCAGTGCTGCCTGTGCTTCGTTCCCTGCTGCAGCTGCAGCCCCACGCACCAGGCCTGCAGCACACGGAATGGTAAGCAAACATCGTGTCACGTCAGAGTGGTTTTGAAACTGCTGTCGCGCAGCCTGCTGGCATCCGTGGCGGGGCATGGTAGGCGCATGCCGCCCCATGCTGATGAGCTGCATCGCGTGTCTGACCGTCATCGTATCATTGGTTGCGCCTATCGATGAGTCCCTATCTTATTGACGTACCGTCATCTCTGATTTTCCTGAGTCACCGGGTGCCATGCAGCTTGCACTGACACACAGCAGATGTAGCGATGGAATGTGATATCTTTTAAGTATGGGATCCGACGGTGTCTGTTGCATGGTTACACGGAACCGCGCAAAACACCGCCAAGTGGTCTGATCTCGACAGCTGTAGAGGGCCCACCGCCACCGCCACCGCATTATCCCTTCTCATCTTTAGTAGCGTGATACGGCACAGCTGCGAGGATCGCAGCAGCCGGTGACCCCGCTGCAAGCAAACGCCGCTGGCGCGCAGCCGGTGCCGGTGTCAGCTGCCCGCGAGCACGCGCAAGGGCGGCGGGCCGCCAAATCAGCATCCAACGCCCCCACATAGCGGCAGCACCTTATTGCCGCATCCACTGAACGCCAACTTGCCAGCCAGCGCCCGCACCGACCCGCCGCCACGCCGCCTTGGCGGGCCGCAGGGCGCGCCAATGGCCGCAGCGGGCGCAGGGGCCGGCGTAGAGGCGGCGGCGGCGGCAGCAGCAGCAGAGCCGGTGGTGCTGAACTCCGCAGACCGCAGCCTGGATTGCATCGTGGCGCCCGGCGGCCTCTTCGCATCCACTCTGTCGGATGAGGGCTTCGGCTATCTCTGGAGTGGTGCGTGCGCGGGGCGCAGCGGAGGAGCCGACGATCTGAGGGCGCGCCGCGGGCCCCAGGCAGCCGCTGCCACCAGAACCCCGCAGCACCCCGCGCGAGCCGGTCATGCGCGCTCCTTTGAATGGGTCCTGCAGCTGCTGTGCGCACGTCATGTTAAAGGGGCCCCTGGACAGAGCGGCCTGGACTGCCCCATGCGCAATGCAAGCTAACGCGCCCGCTGTGCCCTGCCTTGCAACGGTGCCCTTGGGCCCCCCCTGCCCCTCATCCTTTGGGCTGCGCGCGTGCCTAACGACACACAGCGCCCCGGCAGGGATTGACTTGGTTGCCGGACCGTCTCCGCCAAGTTGTGTACTCGCCGCGCAGCCCGCCGTCGCGCATGGCCCCAATGCCCCGCCCCGCCGCACACCCAACCCCGCCGGCCGCATGCAACATCCCTCAACCCCAGGCGTCCGCGCGACACATGGCATCACCGCCGGCGCCTATTGGTTTTCCGTGCGGATCATGGAACCACTGGAGACCGACGCCCCCAACGTGGGCGACAGCGCTGACCTGTACTCGGACGATGAGTCAAAGGCGAACACCATCCACTGCGCGAGGATCGGGATCAGCCGGCTGGGGGTGGACGTGGGGGCGCTGGGAGCCACTGGAAGCTGGGGCTACGGCAGGTGCGGGGACTGGTTATGTGTGTGTGTATATGTGTGTGTGTGTGTGTGTGTCTGGGTGCTTGCGTGTGTGTGTGCGTGTTGTGTGTGTGAGGGTCAGCGAGTGCCGTGGTGCGCGGCGCGGATGCACGTGCATGTGCGCATCATCAGTGGGAGCCGACATGCTGAGCAGATGCGCCTTGCAAGGTTCCTACCCAATTTGGCTGCATCAAGGGGTCATTGTCGGGGCTGGGTCGGCTGGTGGTGGGCTTGCGGCCGCAGGCCAATGGGTCCAAGGTTGAGGGTCAAGGAGCCCTCGTTGAAGATCCCCGCAAGCAGCGGCCGCCACATACACCCAGCCGGCCCCTCGGCCTGGGGCGCGCCCCAACTTCCCCCCGACCCCAGCCCCCCAGCCCTTCTGCGCACGACCCTCCGCGCTGCCTCGCGCACAAACCCCTGCAATGCAGCGATGCGGGACCGCTGCCGCACCGCCCTGCGCCTCACAAATTTCCGCAACTCCCAACCCCCAAAATCCGCAGCACGGGCAAGAAGTCAAACGGCAACGTCTTCCGGCCCTACCCCTCCGCCCCCTCCGGTGCCAGCGGCGGCAGCAGCGGCGCCGGCGCCGCCGCCGCCAACGGCGCCGCGTGCGGCGGGCGCATGTACGGCCCCGGGGACGAGGTCGCGGTCTTCGTGGATGCGTCGCCCGCGCGGGGCACTGTGCGCATCAGCTACGCTTTGAATGGAGAGGACCTGGGTTTGGCATATGAGGCGATGCTCGGCGGCGGCGGCGGCGCCTTGTTTCCCCACCTGCTGCTTAAAAACGTGGCCGTCGGCGCGAACTTTTCCGGGGGGCGCCCGCAGCACCTGCCCGCAGGCGCGCCGTGGGACGGCGGCTGGGGCGGGTGCCGGCCGTGGGGCGAGGCGGCGGCGGCCGCGGCGGCGGGGGCCGCGGCGCAGCGGGGGCCGGTGTCGCGGCCGTTTGGGGCGTGCACTGTGCTTATGATGGTTGGGCTGCCTTGCAGCGGCAAGAGCCACGAGGCCGCGCGGCTCGTGCGGCAGTCGGCCACGGCGGGGCGCGGCGCGTGGGGCGGCGGCGGCGGCGGGGGCGCGTGGGGC